AAAAAAAAAAAATAAAAAGAAAGGAAACTCATTTTCTAATACTTGCAGTGTCAACTCAATAAGATGTATATAATTAGTAAATATGCAACATGCATTGCACATGGACAAGACTTGGAGCTTCTTATAAAATAGGCTCCAATTTTACCCTTTGAAAAGTGTGAAATCATATTTAATAATATGTATAACTATTGTTCCCATCTGTTAATTATATTGCAATTAATTGCTTGTTATAAATAAATTGATAAAAAGGTAATAATTATAAACTGTGTTGCTGCTTTAGATTTTATGAAATAAAAATAAAAATATATATGTTTCTGGTGATCATGCTAGTTTATTGAACTTAGACTTTCTAATTTTAATATACTATACAAATATTCCGTATGGAAGACTATTGTTGTATCATTAAATATATCATTGATAAATAAAAATAAATTTCAGGATACCATTTTTCTTAAAGCATATTAATATAATCACTCTTTTTATCTTGTTATTAATTTATCAAAGCCTGATATATTAAATTAAAACAAATATTAACAATTTTTTATTTGACATTTATATTACATAGGAAATAAAAAATAATTTTATTCATAAATAAAGTCAAATTACTATATTCGTCATAATTGAATAATTATTATCGATCCTATATTCAATTTTTTCATCTACTTATGATCCATAATTTGTAGAAAATATTGATATCCAATGTTATAAGGTATGAGCTAGAAATGTTTTTATCATTTGACATACTTCACATAATACATAAGCGCTAAACTAATTTGATATAAAAACATATCATGGGTTTCGTGTTACACAAACGTATCTTATTTAACAAATATAACAATATATATTTTGAAAATATTAAAAATCTCACAAAAGAATTATATGTGTATTTATTTAATATTTTTGAATGCATATATTTTTGAATTCCACACGCTATAATGTGTTTCACATTATTCTATAGAGTCAAGTTGACAGAAACTCAAAGGTTGATTTGTTTGGTCCTAATTGGTATGAAATCAATTCAGAACTTAAATTATTGACTTGTGGTATGGGAAAAGACCAAATGTCCTCAAGCTTGGTTCAATAGTTATCACCCCAAATTAAAACAACAGAGCAACAGAAATTTGAATATTAATTTATTAATTTCTTTATTTATTTATCCTTATTTTGGGACATTTTTTTTATTCTTGTTGTATATCAATATTTCACTATAAATGTCTTTTATTGAGCTATCTTAACAATTGCTAGAGATAAAGCAATTTTCATCATCTCAGTTTTTTTTAGAATACATATTAGCAGTTTACTCATATCGAACAAACCATCAATACGCAGATTAGCAGTTCAACCAGTATTATCGACTATTGTACTGGTTCTAATAAATATTAGTTAAATTATTATATAATATAAATAATATATGAAACTGACTTTAACTGATACTAAAATTGTCTGAAAATCTAGTAGGGATACAAGCATATTAAAAACTCATAGTAGACTTTTAAATTTTATGTAATAATTTTTACAAAAAAAAATATTGAAAATATATAAAAAAAAAAATCGAAAATTATCATGTATGTAGCCATCATTTTTCTGGATAATTGGTATTTTAGTAAGAAATCGATATTTATAGACTTTATTGTACATGTCAGGTGATCAATATTTGGGACTGGTAGTAAAATACACAAACCTGGAAAAAAAAAATTAATCATCAATGGTATTTAAATTTTTAAAACAATCACAATTAATCACTCAGGAAGTAGGACTAGTACATACACTTTTGCTTTGCTCTTTAACTCAGTTTATCTGGGCCCTTGAGCCCTCCTCTTCGTGATGGGCTCTTTCTAGAGATGGATTTGCAAGATATAAAGAATGCCCAAACTAGTAATAGGTAAGAGCCCATTTGAGTTAGATCCAGTCCAATTAGGGTCAACCATAATTGGCTTACTTTCACCTTGAACATCCCAAAACAAACAACTGCAGAAATTGATTAAATAAATAGCATATGAAGATAAAGATAAAAGAAAGGATTATTCACGCTAAACAAGGGGCTCATTTGCTTGCCTAGAATATACAAGATTAAGCATTTAATAATGAGTTAGTCTTGCATTTATTAACCAATATTGTGGCCATTAATAGGCCTTTAATATTAAATTCAACACGAGATGAAAAAGTATTTAGTCTTGGATATTCAGGACTATCGAATCTTGGAGGATGAGATATTATTTTTTTATCCTATATTTGAACTAGAATGAAATGACCAAATGATCCATAAATATTCTACTTTTTAGGTTGACTTGTATCCCAACTATAAATAAATTGAACAAAGTTTAAGGGACAAATTGATAAATTTAGGTTTTATCTCAACTATTGTCATAACACAAACGTAGAAGTTAAACTTTACATGCATCATATCTTATGGACAGTCATTGACAATAACGTAGATCCATTTTGATCTTGACAGTAAATTGTATCACTCTAAATAAAAAGAATCTTATTCTATGTAAGGCAAACAAATTCTGAAATTAGGCCAAGAATTATCATATTTCTATCAAATAATTTATTTTGACATTTTTTGTGACATTGCATAAGTGTTGGTCCTATTATGAACATTCCTAATCAAACAGAGACCCAATATACAGGTACCCAATATAGACATGGCCAAAACTCGGCCCGGGCCCGGGCTCGGCCCGGCCCGGCGAACCGACGGGCTGGGTTGGGCTGACCTTGAACCGGCACAGCCTAAGTCCGTGCCGGGTCCATGGCCTGGAGGGCCGGGCCGAGCCCAACCCGGGTCTGGCCCGTTATATTTAAAAAAAATGAAAAAAAAAAAAAAAAAAAAAGAAAATTTCAAATCTTTTGTATTTTTCCGTGCCGGCCCGGCCCGGCGGGTCAGTGGCGAAAAAAACATGACCCTTACATGGCCCGTCTGAAATTCGGGCCGGTCTCGGACCCGTGGTCAACGGATTTAATCGGGCCGGGTCCGGGCCAGGTTAGTTCCGGGTCGGCGGGCCGGGCAGCCCTTTGGCCATGTCTAATTGTGTAAAGGTGAAGACCAAACTAATTATGAAGGGTAAATTTATAGAGTCAAAATACATGGGAAATGGTCCAACTTGGTTCATGTTGTCCTTACACTTGGAAATGGATGGCTCTACAAGCACCAACTAACTAAATAGAGCACATCACCATAAATTTGAAGGACCACCTTAATTGTTCAACACTTCCATGTGTTTTATGTCCTTACAACTTCATCTAAAACTATATCCTATACATTGATGCACAAAAAGATTAATAGGTATTGTATGCTTATGATTTGTTTTGATATAGTTAACCTTGGATTTCAAACTTCTACTGTTTTTGCATCACATTTTTGTACTCATCGAGATTCATCTTTTAGTGTTTATGCATTTATTAATGTATATAGGGAATTGAAATTAAACTTTGGTTAACTAACGGTGTAACAATTGATTTCAGAATATAAAATTTATTGATATGAGATGGCCTTTCGAGTGAAAATTTAGTTAGACTAGCTAATTTTGACCAAATTATCCTATTTATGTAACATAATATAACAAAAATCATACTTTTCAAAGTGAAAATTTAGTTAGACCAACTAACTTTGACCGGATTGTCCTACTTTTGTAACATAAATCTATAATTATGAAGCAAAAAAAAACCATACTTTTTACATACAGTATTTTAAAAGCATACCATTTAACTTGTAAAAATCTGAAATTTTGTTCTTTTGGTCAACATACTCTCAACACGCTTTAACATACATGCTTATTTCAAAATCATTTTCACATGTTAGACAAAATTATGTGATTGTTTTATCAATTAACTTACAGAATCATATAGACAAAATGTACATTATCAGTTTTAGTAATGATATGATGAAAACCAATTAACTTACGCAGTCGTATTGACAAAATCTGAATGGTTGATTTTAGTAATAATATCATGAAAAAAGTAATGAATATTGGTTATATATATTTTATGCTACATGAATAAAATATTCTCATTAAATTTGCCACTTTCAATTATTATTATTTTCTCTTTTAAGTACAAGACTCTTTGCCTCAAGGTGCACCATATATCCATCAACACCCACAAAATATTATTTAAAAAAACACGCACACACACACACAAAAGTTACACACAGTTACAAACATCACACAAAACACAAACAGAGCCTGTGAACAACAAGTACATAAAAGATGAAAGGTGCAATTTTCACCCAGGGGAGTTTGTCATAGGGATTTGTGCCCTTTGCTTGAATGAAAAGCTCTTAATTTTAGCATCCAAACAGGGCCCTAATCATCTCCACCGCCAAACGCACAAGAATTTCAGCACGAAGCAGAAAATATCACCAGCAGCTAAAATCAAAAAGATTTTTTCTTTGCTCAATCTGGTTGAGCCCAGAAAGCGAAAATCGGATCACAACTGCCACAGTTCATATTCAGCTAGCCCAGATGGTTAGATTTCATTAACTCCTTCGAATTTTTTGTTTCTGTAATTAGATGTCTGCATGGGTTATGGCTTGTTTAACGTTTGGATGATTGATCACAAGGTGTTTGATATAATTACTGAAAGACAGTTTTTATGTACATATGTAACTAATGTAAGGTGCGTTGCTGATTTCTTGTGATCCATGTTAAAATTCACTGTTGTTAAACAGTAAATCAGGAAAAGTAGAGAAATAAGAAAAAATAAAAAATTGATGGGTTATTATTACTTGATCCCATTTTAGTTTTTGAAATATGGTTGGCGAAGTTTGAGTTTTTATGTTTTCCTAATGTGAACCATTGCAAAGTTTGAGTTTTTATGTTTTTCCCTTTTTTTATCCCATTTGTATGGAACATGTCATTACTACCTAAAAATGAAATCATTAGTTGAAAACAAAGCTAAGTTTACATGGCATAGTCAATGTAATTAACTAGTGACTACTATGAAACTTTTATGTAATAATCATAGGACTACTTAATAATTAAAGCATACATAGTTGAGCCATCAATTTTGGCATATAGATAAGCCAACTTTTACATGCACATATCATCCTTTTATCAATCTATATAATTATTTTACTACAAACATAGTGGATAGATTAAACTTCCACCTTTTGGGGTACATTTTTGTGGTGTAACTCTGACATTGCAATCTAAAAATTGCAGACTCTTTCATATCATTCAAGATTGAAGACAATGGTGATGCCTCATGGGATAAAGGGAGCAAAATCCCCAAAATCCCCCTGGACCAGCAATGTGAGGAGGCCAATAAGGTCAAACGTGTCGTTGAACACGCAAAGCCACGTGTGGTGCTGAAGTGGCGGAGGCGGATTGGTCACATATTCCAGGTCATCAGATTGAAAAAGCCCACCAAAGGCAGTATGTGGCATGTGAGCACAAAGCGTAGGAGGAGTAAAGGTTAACTAATATTGGTATTATATGGGATAATTGAGTGTAAAGGTTTGAATAGACAGAGATATGGGAAGCTTTATTTCCACTTTCTTACAATATTGAGTGCATGTAGGAGTTAGAGGCTAAGTGTGAATTGAAAAGTGATAATAAATTAATTTGGCGAAGTGCGTGCTCTAAAATATATATATAAATAAAAGTATTAGTTATAAAACTAGAGAGAAAGAGAGAGAATAGAGAAAATTTATTCTCTTAGGTGTGTTTTTCATTATAACTGAAGCTCCTATTTATAGGAAACTCCTGATGGCACAATTTGTAATAATACAAATACATCGAGGGTAAAATAGTCATTCACATACATTATTTTATTATTTCATAACACTTCCCCTTGAATGACTATTTTCTAAACATATTTTAACTGATTTGAACAAAGCCCAATCTGCACATCTTCAAGTGTATCTTGTGGCCATCAGGTACCGTTGCTTCAGCACGTCAGGAAAACCCGGTAGGACAAAACCTGATCATCTTGAAATCATAACATTGTTTCTTCAGGAAAACCCAGTGGGACAAAACCTGAGCATTGTGGAAGCACAACATAGCTCCCCCTCAAATAGATCATCTTTAGTGGAATATCCATGTGCTGCCTCGTTAAAACCTTGTCAAGAAAACCCAGTAGGAAAAAACTTGATCGAAGGAAAAAGAGTACAGCTACTCCAGTATCTCTTATCATCGTGAAGAATCATATCATTTATCCAGTAGTCCTCATCATACCATGAATATGCCTCGTTAAAACCTTATTAGGAAAAACCCAGTGGGACAAAATCCTAATAAAGGAAAAAGAGTACACTATTCATGTGAATACGCCATCCTTGTTGCCTCATTAAAAACCTTGCTAGGAAAACCCAATGGGACAAAACCTCAGCCAAGGGAAAAAGAGTACAACGCGTATTTCATATATTCACCATAATCATCTTTCCATAATTTGCATGAGTATCATATAAATTCTTTCGGATTTGTAGATACTGATGGTATTCACGACAATATGTCATATCATGCTTTGTGCAATTTTTATTCTTAAATTCATTCTCATCATCAATTGATTTCAATGGTCTTATTGCCAATAATTCCCAATATTTACATTTCAGCTGATTTCATTTTCGACAATATTATTTATATAGCGCTATTCATTTGTTTATGTCGACACTTATTCATCTCCATTATTCTCAGTAGTATATTGAGATATCTCATTATCAATTGATTCCATCAATGGTTTATATATGCCTCCTTTCATCACATATTTGGGGGATTTCAATTTGCACAATATCAACGCTTCCAGCGTATTATTCCACCAACATATCATTTCATATATTTCACATCATCAGTATCATACAGTTTATGATTCGCACACTCTCAGTGTGATGCATATATCATTTCCAAAATTTCAATCATTGATTCTCCCCCTCATCTTAACAGATCCCTGATCTGTATTTTTAGTATTGAATTTCTTGAGGGGAGTTCATATAGTCTCTATTTTGTTCTCGATTTCAACATATATTTGGAGGACTTTGAACTCATATCATTTGTAGTGTGCACATTTTTCTTTCAAGAGTTCATCATATCAGGTGAGTACATTACTAGCTTCATCACTTTCATATGACACTTATTTTCATTCTTTCATGATCATCTTGTGTCATCCTTAGATCAAACCATCTCGTAAATTCAGGTTACATGTCATATACACATTCTTTGATCAAATCATCTCGTAACTTCAGGTTACGAATCACACACATGTGGCTATCTAGTGGATCCATAATATCTAGTAGCACACATGGAGGGGTATTGGGCCCATATATATCATACCCCTTTTATACTCAGATTGATCAAATATCGATTCACAAATATTTAGCTAGTAATATTTTTCACCAATCGAGAACAAACATCTCATATAACAAAGAATACGTTCATCATGCAAACCATCATCAATAATATCGGCAAACATTTTTAAAATGATCACAATAATTCGTTGTGACACGTTTATCACAAACATTTCACATCATCTTTCGGCGGCAATAAATGCACTTTAAGTGTGTGCTCTGGCAAAATGTCTTTTAGCCACTGTTTAAATCCAGAATCGTGTCATGCCGTCTGACACACATACTTTTGAACACTGTTTAAGCCCAGAGTCGTATCGCATACGCATCATGTTTTTCTATAAATTATCAGGTAATTCAATCAATTTTCTTTAACAAATGTCCGAATTTACAAATGGATTTAGCACTCTCAAATATCCGTAAATATTATTCTTTTCTTCCGAAAAATATCATAAAAAAGATTTATCGATCTCGATTAGAAAGATTGAGGATGCTAATGAATAATGGTATTCCAAATGATGTTAGATGGTTGATCGAAGCACAAGTTCGATTGTCTGGAGAGTTTCCAAATTCATATAAATATATGCCAGGTATGGGTAAAAGTACTTATGCAAAGAAACGAAGAGCAAAAAGGTTAGGGGGATGCTTCAAATGCGCTCGATGGACTTGTGACACACGATGTATATCTGTGGGGTACGTGTCCAAAAATCGAAAAGATAAAATATCATTTATAAAGGATGGATTGAGTAAGGAGTCTTTGGATCAAACGATTCAACAGATTCTTGAGACACATCCTAGTGGATACGTGCATCGTGAGCTTATGTCTTTATGGATTCAGTTCAAAAATGAAGAAGAACGTTATAGTCTCGAAAATATTATTTCAAAAGATCAAGTTTGTAAAACTGGTCTTGTTAGTACGAAAAATCATACTAATACAGTTTAGTATGTTGTACTGTAATTTTCTAGAAAAACTTATAGTTGCCGACAGATAAGATTTATTTAAAAACCAACACCTTATCTGTCAGTTTCAATTGTCAGAAGAAAACAGTAAAATTATTTATTGCTTTGTAAAGCTTTCTATTTAAATAGCGAGTCGTTCATCATAATCATATGCCTCACAAAGTTTTGAAAAATTCAGTTTATCAATAAATAGATGGATGTTTCAGAGTCTTCGCAAGGTAATAATTTTCTTCAACCGATCAAAACCATATGTGTTCTTGGTGGTTCTAAACTGGTAAGTTTTTCTCAAACTATTGATATTGTAAGTCAGTTAGTCAAAGAGATGGGGAATCAAAAAATCAATTTGCTGTATGGAGGGACTAGCAATACTTTCTATGATAGTCTCTTAATGGCTGGACAATGTTTTGAGATAGAAGTGAAAAGTATCATACCTTTTCGTAGAGCTTCAACAAAGGTCGTCAAGGATTCCACAAGCATGATGTTAACTCATTCCATTCATGATTGTATGATGGCTATGGTGAACAATAGCGATGCTTTTATCATTCTTCCAGGAGGGTATGGAACGCTAATGACAATGTTCACCATTGCTTTATGGGCAGAATTGAAACTTCATAACAAGCCCATAGGTCTATTGAACTTTAATAACTTCTTTCATGGTTTGCTTGGATTTTTAGACATAGGAGTATATCAAACCTTTATATCTCCTTCAATGAGAGAAGTATTCAAATCTGCTGACACGTCTGCTGAACTTATCAAAAAGCTTCAAGAATGCATCACATTTCAAGATTCTGTGGAAACACAAGGGGTCAAGCGAAAAAGAGCTTTTGATCCTTTAGATCTCTCATTATGAACCCAGATATTATTCAAATATGAACCCAGATATCATTCATGGGTGGCAGAGTTACGGAGTTTTACACTCTCGAGACGCACCCTTCTTTTATGGGTTCTATTATGTAATCTTTGCGTATATTGTATTCATCGAGTATTTACTGCCTCTTTTCCATATTTCCACCATCTGAACATTTTGTACTTGTTTCTCAGTAATAATAATATCAATTTCGATTTTTCTCAGTGTATAGTGTTTCATGACTACAATCATTATCATTTGTGCTTCTTCCGGAGCACTTTATTGTAATATCTGTATGATCTCGTATCCCAATGTGATCTCGTCATCTGATATAGCCCCTTAGACTTATATAATATATTGAGAAATCATTTTTGTGTGATCACCCATAGCTGGTAGCTTTTGATACCACTTTCTCATTTTGTTCAATCATCCAATGGTAGCTTCTAGTACCATTTCATCACTTTGTTTAATCATAAAGTGGTAGCATCCAGTACTACTATACCATGATATCATTTAATCATTATGCTATAACTTCCGACATCACATTAATCATGTGGTAACTTCTGGTACCATCTCATCAATATTCATATCTCCATAAATTTGGAGAATTTATCAACTGATACTTCAGGATCAGGTTAGTCCATATAATGTCTGTTCATGACAAGGACTTTAATTAACTTTCACATGGTCAGATACAAAGTATCATTAACTTCACTCATCGGCTATCACTTATTAGTACTGCCTGTCGCTGACGGCACAGCCGCACTGGCCGGCGCATGTATATATATAACCATTCATATCATTTGTTGCATATGGCCTTGTCACCTGGCCATTCCACGTCACCGTTATCATTAATTACATTTATCATCTGAACATCACCAGTCATCATTATTAATACACTTGTCATCTTGCCATCACCGGTCATCATTATTCAGTAAGCTTATCATCTGGCCATCACCGGTCATCATTATTCAATACACTGACCGATTCACTTAGTTGTTCAAATCTTATTTCGGTGGATACACAGCTCGGCCAGTTCACATGATTTTCCTATTTCAACAGTTAATCTGTCGGATACCATTAAATATCACCTGCCGGCGGCAGAGCCGCACTGGCCAGTTTATGTAGCGACACATATTTATTTTCATATCATATGGGTCAATCCAGAAATATCCACATGTTCATGCACCAAATATTACAATAGTCAATCCATACACATGCACATGCTCATGTATCAAATAATTTTCACAATAACAAAATTCAAGCATTTCATAACCATAATATATTTGATGTATGATAATAAACCATATCAATATTTGTCTTAAATTAAACCTCTCATTATATAGAGTAGTATGAAAATAAATAAATTTAATTTGATAATCACGACTTTTTATATT